AAAAAAAAAAGAAAAGTCGTGCCAGACCAGCTGGCGACGTAAGGAATGGAGCTGCCCGCGACTGTCAGAGCAGGGTTGCGGAGCTGGAGCGGGTGTGCAAACGAATCGGGTGTGTACGAGGCGCACAGCTGTCCGCTTTATACGGTGGTCAGGAATTCGATCTGGCAAGTGGGCGGTGAGCGTCAGTATCACGCACGGTGAGTGGCGAAGTTTGCCACCTGAAGCGTGCCCATGCTCGCGCGGGCGGCCAGTGTAGTGATTCGTGTTTTGGCGTTGATCGGAAGGCTACGCTTTTGCTTCTTTGGCGGGACCGGCCGCTGCCGCAAGTGCGCCACTGCCCCGCGGCCGCTGCATGGATCGAGCGGCGGATGATGAACGTTCACATTTTTATACTTTGCCAGAAGACTTGAGCTAAACAAGATGACGGGAAGGCGGCAGGCGGCGCCGGTCACGGGCAGCGCCTACAATGTTGCGATCACGCCTTCACAGGACGGCAGTGATGCTTGCCGTGGCAATGCTCCAGCCTAGTAGCCTCGGTCGATGCTTGAAGAGTGTCAGACTTTCTGCTGTCGCGTCTCGCTGAACGACTTGGATGTCTCCATGTCTGGCTCATCGGGCTATTGGTTTGCCGGACAGCGCGGCCAGCACATCAACAGCACCAGGCGCTTTGGAGTGATGCAATTGAATGGCAGCCGTTGCCACTCGCTGCGTCTTGCTGGCCGACCTCTGGGCGATCAGACAGGAACATCGTCTTGCCTTCACCAATGCGCGCCCGCGCAGAGTGTTTTTTGCGCCCTCGCGACCCAGTCCAGTCTACAGTGACAAAAATCTCTTCGCGAGAAAGCGCCTTCTTAGGATTGCCGACGAAGAGCCGGTCTTGAGTAGCCACGATGCCAGAGAGGATGCTGGAAGCTAATCGATGGCGCCGTTTTGGGCGTCTGAACAGGCGCAGCCGACGTGATTGCCCGAGCTGATTGGAAGGACTGCGACCTCACGCGAGTGCGACTTTCCCTCCTGCCGCTAAAGGCATGAGGAAAGGAAAAGCTGCGGTGCGCTGACAAATGAGGGTAACCATTACGTGAATTGTCTGCGCGCGATGCCAGGACGTCGATTCGCGGGAGTTGAATGCCTCATCCATCCGCATGCTCGAGCTAACAAGCGGCCTTACTTCCGACCACGATCGAGCGGTCAGCGCTTCATTTGTTGAATAACGAGAACGACAGACCCGTGAAGGTGGCGTCTGGGCTGGAGCGGTGAACGGTCAACGCTCGAGTATCGCTGAGGTAAGGATGAGAGTCTCATCTGCACCAAATTCGGTCAACATGGCTCCATCCAGGAGGCGATCGCACGAGATCAAGATGGAATGTCGGATGCAACCTTCAGCATGGCCGAGCAGG